CAGGCCACTGTTGATTGTCTCTTCGTGACTGTTCGTTGCAGACGCCTACTTGGCTGTCAATTTGGCCCGTAATGGAAAGCTCCCAGTTCACATCAATGAAGTCAAAAAGGAAGAATCCCTAGTCTCTGCCTTGAATGCAAAAGTATTAGGCAGTGGACAGCCCACTGCAGAGAATTGCACTGCATTGATAACCGACGAACTGGTAAGCAATACAGCGACATGACCAGAGAATTTGAGCTGTTACTACCTGTACTCGTGTTGCAGCAACAACAGCTCTAAACCGAATGTAAAGCCCGACACAAACTGTGCAGCCATTCGGCTGGCTGAGACGAGAAGCTGTCCTGTCTTTTGCCGTATCGTTTGGGCGTATAGAAGAATGACTTCCATCACAGTTTTGTGTATGACGCCGAGGAAAAGGCTAGTCCCGACTACCGTCAATTACTGCAGAACGCCCTTGACCAGGGATTGGCAGTCTTCAAGTAAGTAAAAGCCGCGTTCACCTTCACTCCAGACAAATCTCATAGCTATTCCTTGTACGGCAAAACGGGACACCCTTGATGCCAAACCTGCATGTAAGAGCCGCGCCGATTTCTCTGCAGCCCATCTCTCACTATTGCGCCTGTGCTGTGCTCTGCTGAAATTTTTTCCAGAAACAAAGCATACCCCCAGTCCAATGACGAGTGGCAAGATATATGGGGGGAAGATGCGGGAGCCAACCTGGCATATCTTCTCGGGTCTAACAGCACTACAATCGGGTGTGTCATTGGAAGGTGTACACAAGTAACAACTTCAGAAGACCAGGAATCGCTTCAAGTTGGAGACGGAGATTCAGGAACACAGCAAGAAACTTTAACAAATGAAGCTGTACTTTTCTGCCAACTCAAACCTGCAGCGGAAAAGAACTCGGCCCCCTTTGAGTAAGCTTTGGGTTTCGGAAGGTGCCTTCATTGTGGGGACTTTAGCAGGGATTTAAGCAAATTAGATACCAAAGCTGGGCATAACCCCCCTG